AAGAAGAAATCTCAGAAGGATTATTTAAAGGATATATAACTAAAAAAGGACAACCTATAATTTTTGAAGAACTTTCAATATATGGAGAATACTTAAAAGTGTTAGAAAGGTTGAAAAATATAGATATATGACCTGATTGATAAGACCTTAAAAGATAAGGGATATATCTCATAAATAACCTTAATAAGAGTAAAGTAGTACTTTTAACAAATTAGGCTATTGTGGAAAAGTGGGACAATTCCCCAGCCATTCTCAAAATTATCCCCTATGGCAGGCTCCTTCCAAAATAGAATATTTTCGGAGTACATGAACAGAATTCATATAAGATTTTAAAAGGATTATTGGCACATAACGTCTCTATATTTAAGATTTATTGTGAAAAATGTCCTCATCTTTTATTTTTTAATATTTTTACCCTTATTTCCACATTTATTTGCAAAAATCGTCATTTTCACCATTTTTTAATATAAAATGACTAAAATACTCTCCCATTTAAATAAAACTCAAAATGAAGAATAATTACGATATTACTCCTAAATGTTTAAAAAAGTGCTAGTACGTCCAAATAATTATTAAAAGGTTTAAGAGCACAAAACGTCTATATGTTTGGTCTTTAGTGTGAAAAAGTCCCTATGTTACAAATTGGTGAAAGGGGCGTTTTCCGCAATGAAACGTAAAAATATAAATGAAAACGTAAAAAAAAAAAAATGAAACGTAGGGACATTTTCCGCAAGAATGCCAAATGTAGGGACTTTTTTACTATTAGGTCTTATTAAAATATTAAAAATAATTAAAAAAAAACTATCTCTCTCTTCTCTTTTTCTCCAAATGGAACTGTCATATTAGAAGTGAAAAAACTTCAACTAATCATTGCCCAAACCGTCGAACCTCCACCCCGCTGAACCATCTGATTGATATTTTAAGATTTTGAAGAGAGGCGCTCTAGTGAGTATAGTCGATTGGTGTGTTGGAAATGACATGGATCTCTCCGAAATAGGTGATGCCGCCAGTATTTACATTCGTGGGTTGGGTATTTTGGCTTGCAGTTCCTAACAAATTTATTGACATGAAAGTTTCAAGATTGGATGTTGAGTGGTACGTGTAGAAGGAAGCGAGGACTTTTTGGTGGTATGGTAGTCCAGCAGTTTGGATGGTGGTTTGTAAGAGTTTTTTGGCTTCTAAGGTGGTTGACCCATTTGGAGAAGAAGAGAAGAGAGAGAGATAGAGTTTTTTTATTATTTTTAATAATTTAATAAGGCCAATAGCAAAAAACATCCCTAAGTTTGACACTTCTTGCAGAAAAACGTCACAACTTTTCATTTTTTGCGTTTTCATCCCTATTTCCACGTTTTATTACGGAAAACATTCATTTCACCAATTTGAAACGTAAGGATGTTTTTCACAATATAGACCAAACGTAGAAACATTTTGTGCTATTAGACCTTTTAATAATTATTTGGACTCACTTGTACTTTTTAAAACATTTAGGAGTAAATTGTAATTTATTTTTTAATTTTTTCTTTATTTTTGGGTTTTATTTAAATAGGAGAGTATTTTGATTATTTTATATTAAAAAATGGTAAAAATGACGTTTTTCGCAAAGAAATGTGAAAATAAGGAAAAAAAAGTCAAAAAATAAAAGGTGGGGACGTTTTCCACAATAAATCTTAAAGGTGGGGGCTTTTTGTGCCAATTACCCATTTTAAAATGAAAAATTTCTGTACATGTTTTATGTTTTTTTTTTTTCCATTTTTGAATGATATTTCAACACCTATGTCTGTGAAAAAATTCTTGTGCAAAAACTCTATACTTGTAACATAACTCTCCAAAATAATTGCAATTGCTATTGTTTACCTTTAATTTGGTACTTCAAACGATGTTGTCTAGATTCCAAATTTTTATATGTTGTACTTTTATGGGCTTATAATGATCCGGTAAAATTTCGTACAGTTTCGTCAAGATTTGCTTGATTGAAAATATTTTAGTAACTCGCAGCTTAAATGGAGAAAAATGTTTACAGCTAGCTGTTTGTTTTAAAGAAACAAGTAAATTAGAAGTTTTAAGTGGGAGAGTAAACCCTAAAGGACTCATGTTAGTAACCCTCCATATTACTAGAGTACGGGGCGTTACATATACCATCTAAATGAGACAATTTTCTTTATTTGCTCCATTTCCCTTAGAGAATTTTATCTTAGAATTTAACCAAATCACGCTTTAGGCGTGTCATATTTTTATAAGATATAATATGAATGAATTGTCCTCCCAAGTTGTCAATTCGAGTTGGAACATTTAAAGTCGATGTATAAGATATTATACCCTTGTTTGAGCCCCCATTTTGTCATCATAATACATTTCCGTCAATGATTTGATATTATTTCAACCACATATTCTTTAATAAAATAATATTATAAGCAAACTCAAATTTTTTTCTTATTTTTCAACCACATATTCTCCATCATAAGACTACTTCAAAATGCATTTTTCTAGAAAAATGGGGCTCAAACAAAATGTATAATCTCTTTGAGTGATAAATACATCTAAATGAATTGTGTTTCGAACTTATGGTTGAAATTTTCTTTCATGGGGATTTAAAATAATATAATGATGTACTGCATATATAATTTCTCCTAATAAATTGTTTAGTCAAATTGACAATCAACAAATCGTGTTATAAATATTACTCATTAGGGCTTGAGATATTGTATAATGGTTGAAACTATGCATTTATTTTCAACATTATTTAATTTTCATCTCAATACATTGTGGTGGATCAATTGTATATATATTGCACTATCAAAATAATTGAATGGAAAAATTAGGTTCTGTCGATAAGTCAATATAGCTTATGGTTGGCCCCCATTTTTCCAAAAATTAATTTCCAACCATACATTCTTCCATAAAATAATATTACACGTAAATCGTTAATTTTTCCTTATTTTTTAATCACATATTTTCCAAAATGTCACCATTCTAAAACTCATTTTCTCTCAAATTTTCATTAAAAAATGAAGCCCAAACAAGGGCATAGTGGGAAAAAAAAACTTTGATGTTGGCATAATATTAATATTAATAACATTCCCTAAACAAATTGGGGAAGCTCTTTGTTATCAATGCAATAATTTAGAAATAAATTGAAGACGCTTAACAAATTATTGCGTCCATTTATGTCATCCCAACTAATAATTAGTCCTATTTGATGGACTTTTTTCAAATTCCTTTTTCTATATACTTATTTTCAAGCATGCATCCATACAATAAAAAATTTTGCATGTAAATTAAAAAAAATTTCTTGTTTTTTAAATACACATTCTCCAAAAATTCACTATTCAAATTATTTTTCCCAAATAATGGCCTCCAAACTTGGACTTATTAAAAATGTTGAAATTTAGATTAACTAACATTAAAAATGCACACCTCTTGATTGTAAAATTGAAAACTTGTACCCATTATTTAAAATTTGAGCAATAATTTTGCAAACTCGTAGATGCAATACTATTCAACCATTTAGTAGATGTATCATATTTATTATATACAAATAATATTTAGATGATCAACATGAAAGATGATGGGACCCCATATATCATCCTGTATAATTTTCAAGATTATTAGAATTTAATCTCAACATTAATTAGTTATGGTCAATGACCAATTTATGATACGAAGAACAAGCATTATATGTGAATTCATTGGATTTAAAAATCTCCAAATTCTTCATTAAATGGTCATTTGAATTCTTGTTTGCGTCATTATTGATCCATTGATGATCTAATTGTAGATGTCAAACAATAAAATATTAGAGCTATTGAACTTTTGGTTCAATATATTATTTGTTTCAATTGTATTAATACATCTATAGTATCAATCTTGACACACATTTTATAAACTTTGTATGTTTCTTTTCAATATAGTATATAATAATTACTATCTATAATAAAAAATTAGTCTTACACATAATGCATCATTGACTTTTCAAGAGTATAAAAAGAACATTTTTCTTGAATTTTGATGTAAATCAACTTTTGCTTCTTTAGAAATAATTTAATTAAAGTTACAATTTTCATGATTAATACCATATTTACATTGAAGTGTATAATTGTGTGATTTTTCTAAAATAACCGCATAATAAATTATAAAATTGTAATTCTTTCACAGCAATACAATATTTTTTTTAGAATATTAATTTTTATAAATTGATTCAAATAATCTGCAATATTCTTTTGTAATATTTAAAAGCCTGATTGTGTTTTGTTACATAACAACTAATTATCTTGTTATATATTAATCTAATACTAAATTATGTTTCTTCTAGAACAATTAGTCAATATTCTTTTGTAATAGTGAAATTAATGTCACGCTCTCCAGGGACAAATAATATTCTTTCAGAATGGTATATCATTGTATTTCTTCGGGAGCAACAACAAATTAAATATATCAATTTAATATGTAAAACTAATATATTTATGTACAGATTTATCACGAATAGATTGCTGAATTTTAATCATAACCATTTGATTTGAAGAACAAAGAGTTGTGAGAGCCATGCTCAATTTGCATGATGATCGGACCATGGCATGCTAAGATATCATCGTTTTGATGACAACTACGTAGGCTGTCCAGTTCATGCGAATTTATGCACTGTTGATCTCAAATTTTCTCTCTATTTTGTGTGAGCTTCTTCATACTAATAACATGTAATAAACCTAAATGAACAAGAGAGAAATATAAGAGAGAAAATACAGACTCAAAACTCAAGTGTATATTTTATTGATAATCAAGACCCTGTATTTATAGAATTCAAAAATGAGAGTTACAATTTGAATATAATAAACTTTTAGGACATTTCTAAAAATCTGATAAGACTAAATAATTATCAACTATTATCACATAATTATATAGCAACCAATATTTTATTATATTATTCATTTATTGCCTACCAAATATGATTTTGAGTATTAATGTTGTGAGGTTATATAAGTCAGTAATACATAGCATTTTGGAAATTGCTAATAAGTGAGTATAACTTTTATACTGTATGTAATTTAGGACTCTATATTTTCTACAGAATTGTCTAAAATGTTGTATATTTTTATTGAATTACAAATTAATATTCTCTTTAGAAGAAAAATGTAAAGGATGAATATATACTTAAGCAAACCAAAATGTCATTTTACACGTACTTGAGTCATAGATATTCAATGGAAAAGGGCTATTGGACTTTAATCTAAGGCTTTTCTTTTTTAATTGATATTTGAGCTTGTGAACTTCTTTACTTGAGCTTATAATTCAACAATTAGTACAGACCTTCCGTACTATGTGGATCATCGTCCTATGAAGCAACATGGTGACATTAAATATTATGTCCAATTAATTGTAGGACAAAGAACCGTGTTATTTGACCATCATTCGATGCTACCTAAACATGATGATTCGTTATCATGATTACAAATAACATTATACAGGGATGTAGGTGGAGTGCGTGATGAAGGGCCAACCCGAGTCCAAACATCCATGGGGAGAAGGGTGGCTAGACACGATAGGCACATTTACGATATCTTTATACCAAATAAACAAATCCTAGGAGACAAAAACATCAAATCGAGGAAGAGTTAGTGACAGTGAGCCTCAAGCCACTCTCAACTCACCTACATATTTGGGCAATATGTCTATTTTCTTCAATATCCTCCTTTACTTCCCATCTCATCCTATTAAATAAGCATCACATCACATCGCAGAGCAAGTATGATATCGATTTTGAGCCTCATTTTAAGTGTATATCACTCTCTGAAAAGACTTACTTTGATGTGTAAGGATTGAGCTCATTTTCAATTACACTCATAAAAACTAAAATCAAAGGTGCACGGCAATATATCTATTGGAGAGTTCAATTAAGAGGTTGCCTCTTAAAAAAACAAAAGAAGCTAGCTAAAGCCTGATTTGAGATTAATATGTGTTTTAAATTAGAATAAGGCTTTTTGTACATTCTTTTCTTGACATGGAGTTTGACACTTTATTGTTTTCAAATGTTTTAAAAAAATGGAATTGGCAGGAAAGTGTGTATTTTTCAAGAACTGTCAAATGGGATGTCGCCACGTGGTACAATGTAAAACTTAATGTCAAACTCCATGTACTTGTATCATAATTCTTTAAATTATACATCGTTAATGTTCCTCATAGCTAAGCTCATCACAGCTAACTATCGACAAATTAAGGAAATATTAAAAGAACCATGCTAGTTGAGCTTCAATTATGATCAGTTTCACAAACCTATGTTTAGAAAAATACTTTTCCATCATGGCTGGCTTATTTACTATGTTCACAGTAAGGTGACCAAACACTGAACAGTGCTAAGGAAGAAACTAAAGTATGCTGAAACCAATAATGCGAAGGGATTTCATAAAGTTCCAGTCGATTTTGGATAGAGGTGCAAACCAACCGACGCCTTTTCAGACCAGATGGACTTTTGCGGTGAAATATTTTCATGACTCGAACGCAGAACACAAGCCAGCACATGGTGAGTAATGCTTATACGACGTAAGCTACACCTCTAGTTAAGGATTGAGGGTTCCTATTATAGCAATCACCTCATTCTCATGTTTTTTAACTATTAGGCAGATTAACAATCAGATCAATCCCCGGTTGCACAGATTATAGCAGTTCGAATGAATCGTATAATCACAAGCCTTTTGACAATATATAAATGGAGATCATAATCTGCGACATCAAAAATCAATATCTACTACCAGCTTCAATATGCAAGAAAATAAGAACCAAAGAAAATCACAACCAAAAAACACTCATCAGATTTTCAACAATATATAAGTGAACAAAAGTTGGAAAATAATTACGACATCTTTATACCGAATAAACTTAGAAGACAAAACATCAAATCAGGACAGAGTTAGCGACAATGAGCCTCGAGTCACTCTCAACTCACCACATGTAGGCAATATGTCTATTTTCTCATCTTCAATATCCTATTTCACTTCCCAACTCATCCTATTAAATAAGCATCACATCACATCGTAGAGCAAGTATGATATCAATTTTGAACCTCATTTTAAGTACATATCACTCTCTGAAAAGATTTACATTTGATGTGTAAGGATTGAGATCATTTTCAATCACACTCCTAAAAAACTAAAATCAAAAGTGCTAGGCAATAAATCTGAACCGATAGTTCGATTAAGAGGTTGCCTCTACAAAACAAAAGAAAGCTAGCTAAAAGCCTTACTTGAGATTAATGCATGTTTTAAATTAGTCCCTCGTAGCTAAGCTCATCACGTTTCACTACTGGCAAAATGAAGGAAATATTAAACAAACCATGCGAGTTAAGTTTCAATTATGATCAGTTTTACAAACCTATGTTACGAAATCAAATCCTTTGTCATCACGGCTGACTTATTTTACTATGTTCACATTAATGTTCTGGTAAGGTGACTAAACACTGAACAGTGCTAAGGAAGAAACTAAAGTATGCAGAAACCATCATGAAGTGCCCATCGATCTTGGATAGGGGTGCAAAGTAGAAGGCTAACTGTACCAACCCACGCCTATTCAGCCCAGATGGGCTTCTGTGATGAAATATTTTCATGACTTGAACGTAGAACAGAAGCCAGCACATGGTGAGTAATGCTAGTACCACGAAAGTTACACCTCTAGTTAAGGATCGACGGTTCCCATTATGAGCAATATTAGGCAAATTAACAATCAGATCAATCCAATTGCACAAATTATAGCAGTTCGAAGGAATCATATAATCACAAGCCCTTTTACAATGAATGGCGATCATAATCTGCAACTTCTAAAATCAACATCAACAACCAGCTTCAATATGCAAGAAAATAAGAACCAAAGAAAATCACAAACGAAAAAGCTTATCAGATTTTCAACAATATATACGTGAACAAATGTTGGAAAATAAATAAAATTATATTAGAAAAGAGTTCAAGACAATGAGCCTCAAGCCATTCTCAACTCACATACATATTTCGGCAATATGAGAAACCATAAAATCCCAGTATGTAATACAAAGTGATGAGGACTAATAAACTTAATGAACCATAAATTAGCAAGAGAAATAGCTACGATACCGAAGAAATTCCTAAGATCACATACCGAAACAGAACCTAATCCATTCATCGATCCTTGAAATCTATAATCTAATCTTCATTTTCATCTTTAGCTCAGCCATCTAATCCTGTCAAGACAGCATCATATAGCAGATTAAGAAATCAATTCTGTGAATCATTTTTACTTGTGCCATTATTCTCTTCTTTTTCTGCCAACAATTTTCCAGATTCCTCGTCAGCCTGCTGAGCTTTGTTTTGCTCATCCTTGGCCTTGAGCGCCTGCAACTTCGAGTGATTATAATATACCACCCCCAAGAAAGCCAATGCATACCCGAACAGATTGATTGGAGTAACAGTGTCCTTAATCACAGACCAGGAAAATGCGATCAAGAGCCAATCTTTAACCACACCAGCAACATTCATAGTCAACGCAGAGGTCTTTCCAACGAGCAAGAAAACCGCGAGATTCAGCGCAAATGCGCAGAAAGAATTGGTCCCAAAAATCAGAAAATCAAAATGGAAGCTGGAGGTCTCCTTCAAGAGAGGAAACTCAACGAAAATCCAAGGGAAAAACAAAAAAACCAAGCAGCAGGGAGCAACATAATAGAGAGATGTAATAGGATTAAGAGTAATTCCCTTTGAAGTTAGCAAGATCTGGATCAAAACAAGCCTTGTAGCCTCAAAAGCCAAAGCACCCAATTGAAGAATCACTCCCCATGTGTCAAATTTAGCCTCTCCATAAGCAGCCACGCCAACCCCGATTGAGATCGAAATCATATTCGTCATCGTGTCCGATCTGAAAGTCTCTTTCTTGAAAATCACACCAATCGAATAAACCGCCACCGGCATAAGTGCCTTAAGCATTTGAATAAATGACACGGAGAGATAAATATAAGCCGAATTCGAAAGCCAAAGCGACAGAGAATAAAGCAGCCCGATGGGCACCACGGATTTCATATACAAATCCCAAGACATAGTCACAGGCTCAACAACCTTAAACACCCGAACAAGAAGATAAGCCAAGGACGAACAAAAACTCATATGAATCATGGTTAGAGAAATCGGGTATGGCCAATTGTACATCTTCCGATCCAGAATATACTTGTTGTAGACAATCACCGTAAACGAAAGGAAGATCCATATAGCTACGTAAGTATATGACAGCACGATCTTCTTCAAAACTCCTTCGCTCAACACTCCTCCTTTCCCCATTGTAACTGCAGTTTTGTGCTGGATTCAGATCAATGAACGAGAATAAAGGAGTGCTTTTTGTGGCTTTTTTGGTGAATTTTTTGATGGGGGTACAGGGGCGTTACTAACAGGAAGTACAAAAGAAGGGGGAGAGGACGAAGTTATTATATGGAGTAGTAAAGGCAGATTCTGTTGGAATTGAGTAGGTAATTAATATAATTTAATTAGAAAGTAAATTTTTCGAGTGATCGGTGCAGGCCAATTCCTAGATAACTTTTTTTCATTTTTCGACAATTTAAGGATAAATGAAAATCTAAGGGTCCGTTTGATTACAAATGTAAAATTTGGGTGGAAAGAAAATGAATTTCAGGAAATTGAATTGATGGGAAATTATTTTCCTGAAAATTGTAAATTATAGTGTTTGATTTGTATAATTTTTCACATAAAAAATATTTAAATTAAAGTGTTTTTTGATATTCATTTGGCTTTATTTTACATGAAAATTGTCAATTAAAAGGATATAATTTACTAATATTGGGGATAAAATTTATTTCCATTACCAAAAACAAAAAAACAAAAACAAAAAAAAATTTCAAGAAAATCATCTATCATTTTATGTTCGTTTGGCTTTATTTTACATGAAAATTATCAATTAAAGGAAAATATTTTTTTACAATTATTCTTAGAATTTGTCTTCATTGCCAACAAAAAAAAATCGAAAAAAATTAAAAAAAACGCTACAGTAACCTAGAATTGCAATTCTCGCCATATCCTTCATTTGGTGGAATTGGGCTGATGTGGCACAAAACATAGAAATGCAATTCTATGCCATTAAAATACTATCAAACACCATTAAATTGGAAGAGAGAATTCCAATTCCATTTTCCGTGGAATTCCACCTCCAATCAAACACTACCTAAATTCATTCATTAATTCCAGTTATTACTCCGTTCCTTGATTTAGTGGAAAAGTTTTAAGTTTGTAAAACGGCACCCAAGTTAATTTCCATGGTTATTGTCTTATTTAAAGCACGGGACAGACAAATTTTTTTTTTTTTGGCAATTAACTTTGTTTATGATATTTTTCAACTTTATTAGCATTTCAAACGAAACAAGGCATACGTGATTTAAGGGGCAAAGTGAGTTATTGAGTTTGTAAAGTGCTACTTGGAAAAGGTTGGAGGACAGGGTTGGTGACAGTTGCTGCGTTGGCAACACCTGTGTGGTTCCTTTCTTCTATTTTTCAAAGTGTTCAATAAAATGTTGATACGTGTTCCCCTATTTTTAAATCATGTCACCAACTCTATTTGTGTAGCATAACTCTTGTAAAATATGCGCAAGGTTCAAGTATTTTCAAAACATCGTATTCTCTTCATGATATTCATTTCGTAAGGCATCAATTGCCTATTTGTGATAATACGATAAATATTCTAAGAAAAATTTACTAGTAAAGAAAAATTAGTTTTTGTAAATCACACCTTTTAAAATCTTTCAAATCCTTCAATTCACAAGGTGGTCATAGTTTAAAGTTAAACAAGAAAATATATTTCAATAATTTATGTTTTGTATCACTAGAGATCAAATGATTTTAATTAATACAATAAAAAGAACTATATCATAAATTGACATGTCGTCGCTCCTCTTAAAAGAGAAGTATTTCCTGGAATGCGACTACACGAGGTAAATGAATATCATCAGCTCGTGCTATAAGGTTTAAATCCTATGTTGAGTGCTATTCTTATAACTTTGAAAAGACTTTCAATAATACGTAATGAGTATATCGTCAAGTCATCATACTTTTTATATCCAAAATGGTAAGTGTTATGTTTAATTAAAAAAATGTGAAAATACAAAAGAAAATACTTCTTATGATACTCATTTATCATAGAAATTTTAATTTTATTTTTATTTTTTTTGAAAGACGTTTAATCATTTATAGCAATTGGTAATAATATATTTTGCAGAAATAAGACAAGTAAA